GTTAATAATTGATTGATTGATTTATTTTTGTTTCTTTTTTATTAAATTGTATATATTATTAAAGAAGTGCTAATATAACATAACCTACTAATGTCTAATTTTTGAATTCAGTAATGATGTAAGTACAACATAAATATAATTACCATCCTAGCATGGGCGGGCATGTAATGGCTAATGCCAGAATCCAAACGATAAGGATCATTAGGAACGCAAGGCGCTTCGAGCGTCGCTTCCGGGAGTAGGTTAGGGGCTGTGTGACAGCAAGGTATCTGTGAGAGACAGAAACAAGAAAAGGGCAAATGTTATTTGAATACCTTCAGAGGTGTGCTGCCTGGGGCCGCAATACCTGTCAACGCTGATGGCGCACAAGCTGAGAATCGACGCCGTGCAGAGCAGCACATCAAATGATATCCAAATGTCGCAGAGCACCCAGCCGAGTTGCCACGAGCCTGAAAAGAACAACACAACATATCAAAAATGCAAATTGAATTGCCGTTTAAATAAATACACCTGTGATTGACTGAATCAAGTTTCTTACCAATCAGGTGGACGGCCACTGCCGGCGGCATAACGAAAATGCCAACAAGCAAATCAGCTACGGCCAGGCTCATGACGAAACAATTGGTAACTGTGCGCAGCCTGCGGGTGGTTATAACGGCCAAAATAATGAGGGTATTCCCAATGACGGTGAGAACGATGAACGTGCAGAACACCGTTATCAGGCAGATGCCCTGCCATGAGAAAATGAGATCGTAGAAGTGGGCCCATTCGACCGCCGCCGCAGATTCGTTGTAGTAATTGAAAGCAGTTAATGTGGGCACCGCATCAATGGTCAAATTGGCGGAGTCATTTAACGTGGACTGCACTGCGGCTGTGGGTGTAGCAGAGGACGGGCTGAGTGCCAGGCTGCGATTGCCAGTGCTCCATGTTTCCGAGTAGCTGTCGTAACTTGTTGAAATATTCTGCTTCAGTCCAACGGCGCCGCTTGTGGCCAACAAGCTGCTGGCCACAGACATCAGTGGTGGGAATAGGCCAAGTCGGAAATGCAGCTGTGCACGGACTGCCATATATGCTGTATCGGAGTCAGCAGTACTTGGTGGAATTGATGCTACATAGCTCAAGCTTGGCAGTCCCTGGACGATCCCTTAGCTGCGATCGATTTTCGAATTGCTCTAAATCCTTTTCTTTCATATTTATTTGATACGACGTTTTTATCTTCCAATGGTGTCCTGCAATGAACCAAATAACGAAAAGGATATTTCATTCAATGCATATGCCTAACAAATAATGTTGTATACGAACTATTGGCTAATAAAGCCTTTGCATGTCTGATGTTAATATGAGCTGGAAATGAAATAATTTAGTTATAAATGATTTATTTTGAGTCCTCGAACAGATTATATTGCTTTTTCGTTGCAGTAGCTTAATACAATATATACGTACTCCTGGATTCAGCTACTTCAATCGCAACAATTCAAGAACTACAAAGTATATGTATTTTACAACAAAATCCCCATTATTTATGACTCTTTTGAAGCACTTGACAAAAGATTACTATCAGCGCTAATTTATGACGTTATATATGTACATATATATGTGTGTATATGCATAAGTAAAACTGCTGTATTATCATTAATATTAATATCTAGACTTTAAATTTATGTTTTCAAGCCAAAGTTTTAAAATTCGCTCTTCAGTTCATTCATAAAGTGGCGAAAACGGATAGATCCTCTCTATTTCTCTCTCTCTCTCTCTCTCTCTCTCTCTCTCTCTCTGCGAGTGTAACTTTATGATTGTAATATTTTGAAATGATATTTTTGTATATTTATTCATTTAGATATGTTTTTATGCATATACATATTTGGAATTTATAATAATGTATTTATATAATTAAATACGAGTATTAATAAAAATAAAGCATTTTATATCTTCTACAGTCTTAACGTTACATTCATATCATATATGTATATTTGAATAAGACTGAAATATTGCAGCTATGCACAATATAATAAATACATATATACATATATTTATATCAGCTTTCWTCGTAGTTCAATCGCTGTTGGAATAGTCCGTAAGGCACATCAATAAACATTGCTTTCTGATTGATTGTGCTCGACTGCAATATATATTCAATATATATTTATTTATTATTTATTAATTTATTTATTTCCAGTCGGCATAGATAACTGGATTATAAATATACCATTATTTCTTATTGCCATTAACTTTAACACTTGACATACACTTTTCAGCATAAATTCGTATTTGTACATTGGATTGCCTTATAAAAGCAAACACTTACACAGAATGGATGGATGAAAATGAATACATTAACAAAACTTGAAGGCAAGTAACACAAGAAAAGCACTGTTTATTTACTTGAGCTAAAAGCAGCATAAAAGGCGAAAGGCTGTTCACTGGAAATTCAATTTAAAGTTCATAGAGCGCAATTTTTCCGGCTTTTCCGCGCTAATACACTTAGACACAACAATAAGAAACTGACGGAATAACAATGAAAGTGGTGAAGCTCAGCCTGCCAGAAATCGACAGTTCTCGACGTTGCCATTGACAATAATGTGGTATTAAGTATTATTTGTTTTTCGTCTGATAGCGCTCCCCAAATACCACGGCTGTGGCTGATTGCCTTTGCCTATGTGTTTATATGTATGTATATATAAATGAATATAAATATGTATTTATGTGAGTGTGATAAGCAAATTAAAGCCACAAGCGAGATAGACAATGTGACGTTGGTGACTTTATGCACACACACACACACATATACATGCATTTATATTTACATACACACATGTGTGTGTGTGGATAGAGTTCGCCTTATGTAAGCATTAGGATTGGCCAAAGCTAATTTTACATTATATTTTCAACTTGGCTTACATGGCTTGAGCTCTGCCCTACGGCTATACCCCTTCCACTTAATTCGTCTCTAAGGCCTACCAAAAAGTCCACGCATGTGTCAGTCGTATTCAGTGTCATGGAATTCCTTATCGCATTCACGATAACAAATCAAACGATTTGCTAATGCAGTTATTTATAAGCCCCCATATTTATACACATGCTAACTACTTACTTCCTCTGTAACCCTTAATATGTTGCGCTATAGCTATTTTTTACAGGTCTTTTTTATGGCTTGGATAACTTGTGCAAAACAGAAAATGGTATTCGTTAGTTGGCTGAGTCGCTACGGCCTAGAAGCTACCCAAACATCGAAGTCAATTTTTATAAATCAAAAATATTTTTAGTTCTCTTGAACAATGATGATATGAAATTCTCATAATACTAATGTAAATATTCAAAATTTATGGAATCTAAACCTAAAATTTCAAGTAATATCCAGTAACGAATTATCGATTGTGAACTCTCGTAAGTGTTGCATTGAGCTCTCTTTTTTGTCGGTAATTTGTATTAATCATATTTTTATAAATCGGGTTTTTAATTTCAACTTTTTATAACATATACATCATATATATATTTATATATTTTATATATATACATATATATCATCATTGAAATTTGCATATCCTATTGTAATTATTCAAACTCTGATGGAATCTAAGCCCAATTTTTCAAAATATCTTCAATTAGGTATAACCGACTAGGCAATACCGTGACTGCTGCTCTTTGTGTAGGTAAATAAGAAGAAATATTCAAAACAGAAAGTTTGCAGATCTTACGATATCGCGTCCATGTTTACATCGCCTTCGGTAGTACTCATAAAGTATATTATATATGTATATACTTCATTTGATAAGGCAAAAAGGCGTCAGACCGTCTGTGCCCCATCACGATCTACCTTTGGGTGCAGGGTATAGTAAATTATTGCAATGTAAAAGGCTTCCCACAATAATGGTCAAACAAATTGGAAGTAAATTTATTAATTAACACCAATACATTCGCTCTGTTGCCTCGATGTTTCGCGGTTAGAGCTTCACACATACACGCATGCCATATGTGGCTATGACCATGTACTATGGTGGAAAAGTTTGCCTTCCGTTGCGCTTTATACGCACGGACACACACACACATGAGCACAGCATTATCTGCCATTTGGTTTTCATGGCAAAACTGGCGACGACCTTCCCCTTATTGCTTTTCCCAAAAAAAAAAAAAAAAAAAAAAATCAACAACAAAAATAATATAATTATTTATTACACAACGAAGCTTCTAATGGATATTTATATACTAACACATAATTCCAGGGCGAATGAACGTACGAGAGCCATGCATATTTCTTCATTGTTTTATTTATTTTTTTTATTAATGTATATGTATGTGAATCAAAATTGTGTTGTGCCTATGTAAATATCTATATACATACATACATCACTATAAAAGTATAAAAACAAAATTAAATTGGCAAGAAAGCCACTTTATTTGGGTTGATTTTGAGCATGAAAATGCCATTAAATTTACCAGCTGTCAATAATAGTTTGAACAACAGCTGTTGGAACATTTGCCTTTATTTTTACAGTATGAGTACTACTTGGCGTATGAGAGCGCTTTAATACTATTAAATGCATTTCCGGCCTTGTGCTCGCTCTACTTTTAGAAATGCTGCTCTATAATTTGATTGTCATTACTATCGATTCGAAACTTCCTTTTCTGAAACACACCCAGCGCTACGCTGCCCACGCTTTAGGGGATGGTGCCAGCCCATAAATTAAGCATACGCCTGACTTTAATGCAATTAATTTCATTTATGAATTCCATTAAAAAATCATTACCTTAAGAACATTTTGCGTTCGCATATTTATCTCTCATTTCTGAAAGATTGTTAAACAAATATTGCTATTTTATTTTCAATTTGCTAATAGTTTTAACTATTGTTCTTTATTATCATTTCAGCACTACACAAACGACATGCACTTTAAAGACAATATCTTTAACTAAATGATCTCTTGATAGAGTTTTAGTAATCTCATTCACATGAACTGCATTTAGGGAAACTTATAGATCTTGTTATTAAAATTATTTATTTAATTACAATTTTAATTGTTGTCAATTTTTGATATTTAATATTTTGCAAATTGTTCAATGATTATATAGTCATATTAAAGTTTACTTTATCAACATTCTCTACTGTATCTGGAGGCAAAGCTTGACACAAGATTGTAACGAACGCACCACAGAGTTTATTTTATTTTTTATAATCATATAAGACAGTTTATCTATGATCAATTCGATATCTCTATCACCGCTTTTGTCTTATTCTCTGGTGATTCCTTGATAATGCAACATTATTTAGCCGATTTCAGAGACGCGACTGCATCGCTTCAGAGCGCTTCCAAAACTGCCGTCCACTTTGACAACCGTAACATACTACTACAGAGAGAACGCACACACATTCGTGCGTATATGTATGCTTGTATGAATTGTGTCTGCATGTGCGTGAGTGTATTTGTGTGTGTGTGGGCCTTTGAACRCGAAAGATACATGCCACGAGTGTTCTGCACGTCTCCCTCGCAGTGCGTATGTGGGGAAAATTTATACTTTCTGTGCAAGCGGCATACCTCAACAGTTTCCAATATGTGGGACTCGTTTCTAAATGTATATGTGTGAGTGCGTGTGTGTGTGTCTGTATGTGTGTTGTGTATTTGAGATTAGACAGTACAGTGTAGCCTGCTGTTAATCCTTTTATCGCGTTTGTGGTTTCTATTTGTTTTTCAAAGTTTTCTTCATAAAGGTAAATATGCTCAACGTATATTCAAATTAACACCTGAATGTGTGCTTTTTTTTACCAATGTGTAAATGTACATTTTTTTTTGATATGCTTAAAATTACTGGAATTGATAAGCGTATATGTTCCATCCTTGTCAGAGCATTGAATCGCTTTAAATAGATTAATATTATCTATATAGAGCCTCATTAGAATCACAGTGCTTTATTTTACTCCGACTTACTAGTTCATTTCCACAAATGTGGAACGTAGGTCTAATGAACCACTGGAAGCCATGCACATTTGAGGCGCATGCGTATTTTTTTCGAATATATTTGGAATTTATTTTGCTACTTGTATCTGTAATGTTACTGATATATCAAACAGATAGCGGACAGCGCCAATGCATGCTCTCTATTAGATTAAATTGTCAAGCACTCTAATATTATCTCGAATGTATAGAAATTTATGCCCCAATTAGGCATATGCTGAAGAGTTGTTATGATCTCTAGAAAAACGACAAGTTATCTCGAAAATTATTCTTTCTGCTTTTTATATAACGGTATTAGTACAACTTTATTGCCCTATTGCTTATGGGATTCAAAAGTTAAGCCGACCCGACAGTTCTGAGTATCTTTTAGATAAACCTTTAATTATTACCATGAAACAAATAAAGAAGCATAAACATTGCAGTCAGGCATAAACGACTGATTAATACCCGTTCATACAGTTTATTTAATTATTTTGTTGAGAGATATTCGTTTCTGAGGTTTGATTTATCAGTAAAGAAGACAAGCATATCAATCTGCCAATTTATAGGCCGATCTTTCGTCTACAGTAAGTAATATAATTCTCAAGGTATGAGGCGCTAGCTGTAAAGATGTGAATGTTCGGCTTTACTCTTCCAATAGGCACAGAGACAATGATAGAGATTGACTTTGTAGGCCAATACACTCTTTTCAGGTCATAAATAAATTTAAAATATGAAAAACAATTGAATTCACTAGAAACAACTCTTAAGGCACATTAGCAGAGCACAGCTACCTACAGCATACTACAATTAATTGGTAAGCCCAAAGCATATAAAATTTCTTCATTATATGTGCTATTAATACTCCGCTGGTACGCTCCATTACCCTAGACACATTTCGCTCGAAAGCGAGTACGTTATAATTTGTTTTACGGCGAAGCGTCACAGGACAGCAGAGCCTGTCTGCCTGCATATTATGAGTCACAATATGACAGCATAACTATTTTTACGCTCCACTATTGATTTGCTTATAAAGGGCAGTTAAAAACAATTGTGATTATTTTTAGCTCCTCTGCAAATGAGCATTATCGGTATCTTGATAAACAAGTGCTTCTTAAATAGGTAATTTTGTTGGGGAAAAAAGGTAAATATCACAATAACGACCAATATATTATAATGTTATGTATGGGACTTAAATTTTAACCCCTTATGGTCGATGAGAGTGAAAGAAAGAATATAATTGTATACTATATAGAAATATATGGTATTTTGAGCTCAGTTTGAAAATTTGGTTTATTAAACAGGTAACGTACACATATACATATAACCACATTTTTACATATTACATTTTACATATTTATTGTTAAATCTTACTTCGCAATTTGTAAAGGGGAAGTTATTGTTTCACAATCTATTATTACAGTTCTGTTTCAGATTTATTCTGGTATAATTATATCAATTTCTATTCTAACACCTGCTGGTATTCATAGAGGTAGGATAACAATTGTCAGATGCCATTGAAATAAAACACAAATCAAATACCTATTGCAGCTAACTGGCTACAATTAATTTACAAAAGTCAGCTAAAAAGCTGCAAATTTCAAATGTAATTTAATTAGATACCTTTCGAAAAAAAAAACAGTTCATATGGATAGTAAGTACATTAGGAGTGAACAAACATTCAACTCCAGTTAAC